CCCCAAAACCCCAAAACCCCAAAACCCCTCTAAACAAAATCGAATGTAATTCAGTAGATTAATTCATTAATCAAAAGCAAATGAGTATTTGATAGATATATTTTAAACTTGATTGATATTTCTTTGATTCTCTCATAATTTCATGTGTAAATAAGTATTAATATCAGGATGCTATTCTCTGACCTCCTTATTTTTGTGCCACTCTTTGAATCTTTAGAAGCCAACTCCCTCTCCTGCTCCAATAACAGCCTTAGCATCATCTTTTCCAATTTAAATCATAGGTCCCAAAACTTCAGGGGTGAATTCCATTTCTTCTAATCCTGAAGTTAATGGTTTTGAAGACTTGAAAAAGTATCTGTATGTGATATTAGGGTACTAATCTTAGAACTCTAATACATCATTCATTGCATTATAGTAGCTTGAGATACTCCAATATCTCAAATAGTTTCCCAGTGATTCTCCGGTTGTGGTAAGTGATTCATTTAAGGTAGCTTAGCCGAGGATTATGACATCCATGACTATTTTGGAGAGATCATCTCCAACAATTTCTTGGCATCTATTCATTGCTGACACTAGATTTGAGTTCCAAACTGTACCACCATCCATTAAAGTCCAATTCTTAATATGTCTGTGTGGGAATACAAAAGGAATTGAGGCTGATGCTACTAATCTTTCAGCTAATTCTTCAAAAGGCACATTATCTTCGTCAGAAGTGATATACTATCCTGTATTGGAATCAACTGAAGAAACTGTAATTTTTCTGTAAATTTTTCCAGAGCTGTGTAAAACATCATTGACAAAATTCAACAATGGTGTATCGTCAAAAACTCCACTTCGATTGAAGATTCCTTCTTCAAAACCACCTGGCCAAGGTACATAAACCTTCTCATTAGTCATGTTCATCCACATACCAACTAACCATTCAGACATCTCAACAGGCTTATCGACAGGCCATACTGAGATACCTCCTGCGTTAAGAGCCCCAGCTGACACTCCTGTAATAACATCCCATTCTACCTCTTCACTAGGAAGAAGATGAGCTAGTCCATGAATAACTCCAGCTTAGTAAGCTCCTTTGTTTGCACCTCCAGAGAGTGCAAGAGCGTAGCATTAATCCTTACTTTTGGCACTGAGATTGTGAATATTGAGCAACAAAAGAGTTGACAAAGTTAAGCCAAGATATGACCCTTAAGCTATTTTCATTGAAGTATTTATAATAATTAAAAGAGGATCCTATGTTTAACAAGAATCCTTGCATACATTAATCATACATAAAAACCCTATTAATTATCAATATTCAATTAGTTCATGTTCGTAGGGGTTTTGGGGTTTTGGGGTTTTGGGGAA